TAGATGTATAGACTAGTACGGAAAGAGACATTTTCTGCCTCTATATATATTTATTTTTGAAAAAATTTTGAAAGAAATTTTTTTGTTAAATCTAAAGATAATAGGGTCCAATATAATATAAAAATGAAAACTAAAAGGGTGGTTATGAAAACCTATTCCTTTATAATAGGTATTAGAATGGCTAAGGTACTTCGTGACTCTAATAGTTATACATAGACAAATATTATAATTTGCAGATAGTTATTTGGAAAAGATATAAATTCTTTTTTTTTACATCCAAGAGATATAATGGTCCACTAAAAAGTGAAAATCAAAAAAATGATTATCAAAATATATTTTCTTTATAGGTATTAGGGATAAGGCACACTTTGTACCTTTAAATATTTTTAAAAGTAAAATAAAAAAATATATATATATATATATATAATAGTGTAAATGGTTATTTAGAATTGATTAATCATGATTACTAAAAATATTTATTTTTTCTTAAAAATTAAGGATACAGTGGATGAAAAAGAATTATGGAAAGAAATATTCCATTTTATCTATTAGTATATATAGATAGAAAGAATAGATAGAGATAGATAATATAATAGGCATTGATGATATCATCACACTTAACCAAACAACCAAATGACAATTTTAAAAAAAAAAACATGTTGAACTTATAACCAAGGTTTCGGAAATCGATCCATGACACGGCCACCACGTCAAGGTTCATCGCAACTGCAATTGCAGCCGCAATATAAAGGATTGTATGCTGCTTGTAAACTAAGGATCGCACAGCGCAATATGAAGTCATTTAACAGACAAAATAACGAAAAATATATATATATATATATATATATATATCTATCACTGCTAAAAGCATCAGTAACACAAAATCATAATTCATTACGCAATGTACCTCCATGAAGGAGCTTCGTGGATCGAGACGAAGTTCCGGCGGCAAAATCCTCCCGCTCCACGAGTCCGACGCGGAGTCCTCGTGTGACGGCGTCGAGCGCGGCGCCGGAACCGGTGGCGCCGCCGCCGATGACGAGAACGTCGAGAGGATTGGACTTTCCGGCGGCGAGGAGCGCCTCCTGCTGCACCTCCCTGGACGGCACGATGGCGCCGGGGGCGTGCAGCCGCTTCCGGAGGGCCTCGAGGCGGGAACCGCCTCCGTAGTCACTGAAGGAGACGAGAGGCTCGTGCAGGATGACGGTGGTGCCGTAGGCGGTGGCGATGGCGGTGGCGACGACGGCGCCGAGTTTTCTGAGGCGTGTCATGGCGGTGAGGGAAGTGTAGAAACCGTGAATGAGATTAATGGAAGGAAAATAAACGGTCTGTTTTGTGTCGTGGAGTGAGGACGTTGAAATTGAAAGTGAAACGGTGACGTGTGGGTCTCTGTGTTATATATGGTCAAAAGGTGGAAACTAAAGTGTAGGGTTGTGACAAATGTCAGAAACTTCACCAACAAATCTTTCTGTGTTTGCACTACAAAATAGGAAACTGTCAATTCATTTTTTTATGTTGACAAAGTCAGCGGCGGCTCTTATTTTACGTTATCACTTTCATGTCCAAATTACATTGCAAAATGGTTTTCATAAATACTATTAACACTTTTCTAATACTGTTCAATATTACTAAAAATTAAAGTCATATTATATAAATTTTTTTGTAATTATAATATTTTTATTTTTATTTTTCTTGTCTATTATTTATTTTATTTCACTTTTCTTATTTTTAACTATATAAGTTAAATTATATATTTGATAAAGACAATGAAACTATAAAAAAAAATAAAAATAAATGTATATGATGTTTTAGAAATAGGAAAAAATCAAATGGTATCGGTATAATTATAAAAATGTCATATCAAATTTAAATCACCAAAACAGAATGATCATGCATACTGTAGTAATCAATCAATTAATTTTGCGATATTAATCAATTAATTTAGTGGATGCATCAAATAATTTTTTATTAATTTAATTGTGAGACTAAGCATATATTCTCCGGAAGATTTTATGGCTCGTGACCCATTACTCAACCAATAAGGTAGTTCTTTTTGGGCTGGCGAGTGCGCAATCCGTGATATATATGCTACGAAAACAACACTTGTAGTTATATACTTAGTTACTAATGTGCCAACTAGCTCAGAAAATTTTCTGGTGTCTGTTACCTCTGCTATTATTCATTTAGCTTAGCTGGAGAAGACGAAATGTGCACATCACGGAGCCTAAAATCAACTACTCGGTATTTTGACGATGGTGGCAAGTGAGAATGAGTGACCATGCAAAAGCAAAGCTTATTTGAAAAATACCAAGAAATTCATCGGTACATATAAGTTGTATAAAATATTCTCCCTAAACTACTGAACAGAAGTGATGGTATCATGGCAACGAGGGAAAGAAAGCCTAACAAATAGGTGTTGGTATAGTTTATCATAAACAATGACATACCATCTTACAATGATGGAGAGTAGTACCAAACGTGCAGGATCAGAAGGTAATTAGTTGCAATCTTGCAGAAAACACTTAATATATGACTACGCTTTTAGGGTATATTCGGTGGAAAAATAAGGTGAATGATAAATAAATACGTATGTCATCCAATTACTATTTGATAAATTTATTGTCATTTATAATAATTATGATGCTTGTAGGGGAGGATGAAAAACATGAATATCAACCTTTCAATAATTTGTAATTGACAGAGAAGCCCAACACTTGCTATAAGATATAAATATATTCATGAAGGGTTGAAATTTCTCATAAAAATAAGTTTTTTTAATGTCATATATATTCTTTGTGAGATATAATCTTATTTAAACCAGATAAGATCATTTTTAATAATAGATTTTTTTCCTCTAAGTATTTAACTCAACTATGTATATGACACATTAAGACTTATTTAATGATGTATGAATAAATTTAACATTAGAAAATAGAAGTATCATTGAGAAGTAAAATAAAGGTTTGAGAAAATTTTGTAGAAACTCAAAGAATTAATGCTATATATGCTTAGTAGAGTTTTTGTGTAATGTTAGAAAGGGGAGAGAGAGAACCTTTGAAGACTTGAGTTATCTCAAAATGATCTTTTTTATAAGCTTAAAAATGTTGTCACTTGCAACTCAAAAACTAAGTGAAGCATAAACAATGAAGAAAAATGAGAAGACTATCAAGGAAAACCAACTCAAAATGTATTATAAGGGACCAAACTAATTATAAAAAAAATCTGAATTTCAAAAATTTTAGAAAGACTACTCTGATGACATGAAACTTCCTCTAGAAACTTTAATGAATGTAAGATTGATTTTTTCTGAAACCTAAAAATCTCTATATAAAAACTGGGTTGATATAATGAACATAAATTTCTTACTTCTTGTCACAATCTTATTACATCTTTATTAACATTAATAGACCTATAAATATTAGTATTTATGAACATTATTATATCTATTTCATAAATCATAATGCCTTGTCTCCGGCTAGTTGCGGGGAAGACGATGTGGAAGCCAATCAAGTCTTATCATGACATATTTGACGAATTAGTCAAGATTAAAAGACCTACTCGATTTACTTGATTGATAGGAGACAAAACATACTTTTTTATTATTATAAGAATGATGCGCAAGAAAATTAAATTGTCCGCGAAATGTAGTTTCTAAGTTGATTTTTGAACTTTCTATATTGAACCGGTTGAGAGTCAAACCCATGCAGTTTAATTAAGTTGTACTCAGTGCCATTTTGACAGGGATGGAAAAACCAAAATCTAGCAATGCAGTTGAGCATAATTGTTCTCAAGAGCAATAACAACAATTATAAACAATCAAGATTAGTTGTTTCGTCGATTTTAAATGCATTTTAAAGTAAAATAACCCTAAATTCCCAACTATTCTCAGAAGTCTTCCTTGTAGAAAGAATGAACCTAATGTGACCCATTTGAAGTTCAGTTCATCCATTCTATTCTTTTTAGGTTAATAATCAACCGTTATATTTGAACCAAAAAGTACCTGTCATCATAAAACTCAACCTCCTATAAATCAAGCATTTAATTATTCTCCAAGTCTTAATTTCTTGTCATTCTTGAAAAGCTTCTTCTACCTTAGCTGACCTAAGGAAATAAATATCGATGTTCCAGGTAAAAGGAATGCAATATCATACATGCTCAAACACCATACAGTATCATACTTGTTTAAACTTTAAAGAAAATCTTACAGATATCATTTTATTTATAATCACATTTCAGAGAAAGTTGATATTGTACAGCATGTATGGGCAGAAGCTTTTTTGTTGAAGTATAGCCAAGCTTAAGACCTTTCCTCATCACCTGTACCGCACTTATCATCAAGGTTGCCAGTTCCATCCAGCCACTCCTCAAATTTCGCTTCTTTATTAGCTTTGAAGTCATCAAATCTTTCTGATACTGACAATAAATTAATGCTAATGTCACTAACATCAGACTGTTCAAGTTGAGACTCATCTTCAAGCTGGCTAGATACAGGCAACTCATCAGTTTCGGTAGCCGGAAAAGATGAAGTAACTCTTGCAGATGTGACAGATAATGGCAAATTAGGGTACATCGGTGGCTTCTCATCCATGGAATCTATTGATTCCCTAGTATCAAGCTGTCGCCACTTGAAACTGCTAGCCTTCTGTTTTGCTGACTTCAGAACATTTGAAAAATAGTTACTCCTTTTTTCATTGCCTTCATGAGCATAAAACGCAGCATTATCCAAGAAACTAGCTCTTGCTGTTTGAGAACTTGATGCTGGATGGATTAACCCTCTTTTTGGTTGTTTTGTTGCCATGGTTGCCAGAGATTTTTTAACATCTTCAATCATCTTATCAGCTATGGGAATTCCACACTCTTTCATTGTTACCACCATCTT